AAGAAAATATCTAAAAAAAAGAAAAAGAAAAAGAAAATATCTGTAGGTGCATACTGATATAAACACATAACTACATAAACAACAAATGGGGAAAAGGAGGCAACTCTTCCTTACAACAGAATTTTATTTAATAAATGTGATAAAAATGGACACAGAAGATTACTATTAGTCAAATACTGTAGTAATAATAATTGTTATATATGGAAACCATTCATGTGGGCTGGGAAGGTGGCTCAGTGGTAGAGTGCTTCCCTTGCATGCATGAGGCCCTGGGTTTGATTCCTCAGCACCACATAAGCAGAAAAAGCCAGAAGGGGCGCTATAGCTCAAGTGTTAGAGCGCTTGCCTTGAGCTGAAGAGTTGAAGGACAGCGCCCAGGCCCAGAGCTCAGGCCCCACGACTGGCAAAAAAAAAAAAAAAAAAATTCATGTATGCTAGAATGAGTCTGTGAAAGTGTGAAATAATTAAGACATTTACAGCTTTTTTGTTTCTTAGTTTGTTTTTGGTGGTGGTATTGGGGGCTTGAACTCAGGGTCTTATGCTCTCACTTGGCTTTTTCCACTCAAAGCTGGTACTCTTTCACTTAAGCCACACCTCTACTTCCAGTTTTTTTGTTGGTAAAGTAGTAAGAAGAGTCTCATAGATTTTCTGCCCAGGCTGGCTTAAACCTTGATTCTCAGATCTTAACCTCCTTAGTAGCTAGGATTAGAGGGGTGAGCCTCCAGCATCAAACGTCTGTATTTCCCTCTTAATGAGATACTTTTTTATTACAGAGGAGAAATATGGTAATTTCACATTAATCGAATGATCTAAAATTAATACCACCAGTAATAAGACATCAACATCAAGTTGATCACAATATCAACACGATGTATTTTCCAAAATGCACAGTACCAATCTGATCACTGCAGATATCTGACAAAAGAGATTCTACAAATGGTCAATTGTCTTAAAAAGTGTCAGTTAGACTGTCTTCAAAACCATCAGGGTCAAGCCAGGTGTCAGTGGCTCACACCTGTCATCCTAGCTACTCAGGAAGGTGAGATCTGAGGATTGTGGTTCAAAGCCAGCCCAGGCAGGAAACTCCATGAGACTCTTATCTCCAATAAACCACTCAGAAAACTGGAAGTGGCGCTACGGATCAAGTGGTAGAGCCTTTGCTTGAGCTGAAGAGCTGAGGGATAGTGCCCAGGCTCAGAGTTCAAGCCCCATGACTGACCAAAAAGAATAAAATAAAACAAAACAAAGCATCAGGGTCAGAATAAAGGAAGACTGAAGACTTGACACATACTGGAAGGAAATAAAGAGACTAGACAACTAAATACAATGCCAGATCCTGAACTTGATTCTGGGGCAGAAAAGTAATGAGTGTGGTAACAGGTATAACTCTGAATAAAACCTATAGAACAGCTAGTAATTTTGTGTAAATGTTAATTCCTAATTCTGATAAATGTCCTACAATTGGGTCAAATTTTAACATTAGGGAAAGCTGATACAAGAAATTTTTTTGCGGGTTGGGGGGAAATCCGGTCATGGGGCCTGAACTCTGGGCCTGGGTGCTGTCCTTCAGCTCTTCAGCTCAAGGCTAGCACGCTACCACTTAAGCCATAGCACCACTTCCGGCTTTTTTTCCCCTGCTTATGTGGTGCTAAGGAATCGAACCCAGGGCCTCATGCATGCAAGGCAAGTGCTCTACCACTGAGCTACCTTCTCAGCCCCAAGAAATTTTTGTATTAATATTTCAACCCTCTGCCAATCTAAAGTTATTTCAAAACAGAAAGTTAGGAAATGACTCACAATGAATTTATTACCAAAACCCAAACTTAATTTAGTCTACCCCAAAGTCCTCTATCTCTACAGTAATAAATTTGTGGTATTGTGTATAATTTGGAAAAGTTTTCCTCTTAGTTAATAAGACCCTCCAGTTTAAAAACACAAATTGTTGAGGGGCTGGGAAGATGGCTCAGTGGTAGAGTGCTTGCCTTGTATGCATGAAGCCCTGGGTTTGATTTCTCACCACCACATAAGCAGCAAAAGCCAGGAATGGCTCTGTGGCTCAAATGGTAGAGTGCTAGTCTTGAGCTGAAGAGCTGAGGGACAGGACCCAGGCCCCATGACCGACAAAACACACACACACACACACACACACACACACACACACAATTGAATCTAGGGGAGTTTCCATATCATATGAAAAAAAATCTGATATATAGGTTTGAAAATTTTCAAAATGATTAAAATACATTATATATACATGTACATATGCATTTAAGTGCCTGTTAATAAAGATAATTTTCAGTAATTTCCATAAACATTCAAATTCTACCAAGGATTTCTAGAGCCAACAGAACCTTAGAAATTAAGAAGTCTGGGGCTGGGAAGGTGGCTCAGTGGTAGAGCACTTGCCTTGCATGCTCGAGGCCCTGGGTTCGATTCCTCAGCATCACATAAGAAAAAAGACGGAAGTGGCACTGTGGCTCAAGTGGTAGAGTGCTAGCCTTGAGCTGAAGAGCTGAGGGACAGCGCCCAGGCCCAGAGTTCAGGCCCCACGACAGGACCCCAAAAAAAAAAAAAAAAGTCTATTTAGTGACTCTGAGACCTTAGGCAGTTAGTATTTATCTGAACTTCTCTCACATGGGGATTATCTCAGTTTGGAAGGTTACTGTGGGAAATAAATGAATACATAAGAGTAGTAATATAGTTGTTGGTACCCCATAGTAAAAGAACTTCTGGCTGGTGCCAGGGGTTCATGCCTATAGCTACTCAAGAGGCTGAGATCTGAGAATCACGGTTCGAAGCCAGACCAGGCAGGAAAGTTTGTGAGATTCTCATCTCCAATTAACCACCAGAAAAACCAGAAGTGGTGCTGTGGCTCAAGTGATAGAGTGTTCACCTTGAGCTGAAGAACTCAGGCCCAGAGTTCAAGCCCCACAACCAAGAAAAACAACAATAACAAAAATTCAACTTCTTAGTAAATGGAACTACCAGGTAATTCAGCACACATATATGAAATTATTATTTAATAAGGGAAGCTGTTATGAAAAGGTTGAATCTAAAACTATTTTGAGATGTATCCAATGTTTATTTTGTTTACTAGATGGCACTGAAGTTTGAACTCAAGGGCTTGTGCTTCTTCTATCTCTTCAACCATGCTCCCAGATCTTTCTAGCCTTTGTTATTTTTCGAATAGGGTCTCACATATATGCCCAAGACTGGCCTGGACCATGTTCTGGCATTTATACTTCCTACACAGCTAAGTTGACAGGTGTTATCATGTCCAGCTATTGAGATGGGCTGACTTTGAACTATGATCTTCCAATCATGGACTCCTCAGTAGTTAGGATTGTAGGTGTGCATTACTGACATCTGATAGTGAGATCTCATCTCAACAAACTGGATAGGGGGCACATCTGCATATTCCCAGCTACTTGGGAGGCACAAATAGGAGAATCATGGTCCAAGGTCGACCCTAAGCAAAACCAAGAGACTATCTAAAACATGACTTAAAAAAAGCAAAAACGGGGCTGGGAATGTGGTTTAGTGACAGAGTGCTTGCCTAGCATACATGAAGCCCAGGGTTCAATTCCTCAGTACCATATAAACAGAAAAAGCTGAAGTGGCGCTGTGGCTCAAGTGGTAGAGTGCTAGCCTTGAACAAAAGAAGGTCAGGGGCAGTGCTTAGGCCCTAAGTTCAAGCCCCAAGACTGGCAAAAAAAAAAAAAAAAAAGCAAAAATGGGGAAGTGGCCAAAGTGGCAGAGTGTATACCTAAGAAACAAAAGGCCCTTAGTTCAAAACCCAGAAACAGGGCTGGAAAGATGGCTCAGAGGTAGAATGCTTGCCTTATATGCATGAGGCTCTGGGTTCGATTCTTCAGCACCATATAAACAGAAAAATCCAGAAGTGGTGTTGTGGCTCATGTGGTAGAGCACTAGCCTTGAGCTGAAGAGCTGAGGGACAGCACTCAGGTCCAGAGTTCAAGCCCCAAGACTGACAAAAAAAAAACCAAAAACAACAAAAACCCAGAAACATGCACTATAATTTAAGAAGGCCTATTTAAAATAGAGTTTAAGGGCTGGGAAGTTGGCTCAGTGGTAGAGTGCTTACCTCGCATGCATGAGGCCCTGGGTTCGATTCCTCAGCACCACATAAACGGAAAAAAACTGGAAGTGGCACTGTGGCTCAAGTGGTGGGGTGCTAACCTTGAGCTGAAGAGCTGAGGGACAGTGCCCAGGCCCAGGGTTCAGGCCCCACAACTGACAAAAAAAAAAAAAAAAAAAAAATTAAGAGTTTAAGCCAGGCTTGAACTCAGGCTTGAACTCAGAGTTCCAGCTGTATATATGTGTGTGTGTGTGTGTGTGTGTGTGTGTGTGTGTGTGTGTGTGTGTGTGTGTGTGTGTGTGTGTGTGTGTGTGTGTGTGTGTGTGTGTGTGTGTGTGTGTGTGTGTGTGTGTGTGTGTGTGTGTGTGTGTGTGTGTGTGTGTGTTAGAGTACCTGTCTAGCAAACATGAACTCAGAGTTCCAGCTACGTGTGTGTGTGTGTGTGTGTGTGTGTGTGTGGTAGAGCACCTGTCTAGCAAACACAAGGTCCTGAGCTTTAAACCCCAATACTTTCAAAAATGATTTAATAGTAATAATAAGAGTTCATTTTAAACAGTTAAATAGAGTTTTTGAGTTTCTTATTTTCATAGGGTCATTCATACATGGAAGAATTGAGATATAGCCCCAGTCTGGAAGCAGGAAATGGGGTGTCTGGTCACATGTCAGCCTCCTTCCTAGACAAGAAGGTAGAGTTGGACTTGTTGGTTTCTAAGGTTCTGTTGACCCTAGAAATCCTTGATAGATTTAAATATTTATGGAAGTCATAGGAATTATTCAACCACTGGCACCTGATTTCAATATATTTTGTTTTTATGTATAGATTTTTAAAATAGAATTTTCACTTCATTCACATAAAAGAACTTAACTTCTAAGGACCAGTTCCCTCTGCAGCTATACTTACTTTCTACTGTTGCTCCTTCATTTGGGTTTGAGTATCCCTCACCTTTTCGCTTGATTCTACGGATAATGCCTGCATCTTCAAATAAATCCTCTCCCTTGAAATCAAGGAGCTCGATCTAGAAAGGAAAAAGATTTAACTGAGAAGAGATCAAAGCCAATTTAACATATGCAAAGGCAAAGACAACTGTTTCTCTGTCATTTTATAAAATAACATTTTATTTTAAAATACATGTATCTATCTGTGAATCTTCATTACTGGAAAGGCAGATAAAAGTTAGCATAATAATAACATCTAGGATACATCCTGTGGGGCTGCAGTGCAAAGATGGACAGGAAATACTAAGAACACTGCCTTGTAGGCAAAAAGACAGCATGACAAGAAGGTGGCGCAGATTTATTTTGTCTGAGTCTGAGGTCACCACGTTTTTACCTTCGCATTCTTGATGTTCCTGTCTTAAAATATAAGACTAAATCCTAGGAATCTAGCCTACAACAAACTACCTTGTTGAGGGATAGTTCTTAAAATTAAGCTTTGTCAAATATGTGTACTCATTGCAACATGGAATGAACAACAAACACCACGACCACTACTCCAAATGGAGAATGGTATCTGTGACATTTATAAGTCTTTAGAACATGAAAACACCTTGCTATTTTGTACAGGCATACTTTAACATTTATCACCATCTCTTCTAGTGTGTCAATTTTGAACGTTTTACACTACTGACCCAAGTCTATTTCTAAGTCTGTGTCTTTTGTTTATTTGCATAGGACTTTTTTGTGCCAAAGACATGTTTCTAAGAAAGCACTGGCACACACCCCTTGGTCTGTGGGAAACAATTCACGAAGCCAAACTCTAAAGTAAATAAATTGTATCTGATTCTCAGCAGCAATCCTCAGGTCCTTGTTCCATTTCCCTATTCCCTTTAGTGGCAAAGAGCACGTGCTGACAAGGTAACTGACTCCACATGCATACTTGCCTCAAAGAAGAGAGTGGCATTGGAGGGGATCTTAGGTAGACTCCCAGCAGAGCCATATGCATATTCTGGTTTGCACAGCAAGTGGCAGATCTCTCCTTTCTTCATGGTGGCCACCCCAATGTCCCAGGCCTTGATAACCTGGCCTAACAGGAAGGAAAGGCATATGCTAAATTTGACAAATTTAGTTTTTATGAAACAATGTTCAGACAAATTTCCAATTCTTCATACTATATATTCAAATTATGAGTGATGAGACAGCAGATCTCAGTAAAAACTACACAAAGAAAAGTAAGTATGATCTTTTGGAAGACAGAGAAGAAAACCTGTTGAGGAGGATGAAGTACCAATTCCTCAAATACCACAAAGTTAAAACCCTGAGAAGTGGTGTTAACAACGTTCACAAAATACCACTGTATTAAAATTGTTGCTATGGGGCTGGGAAGTTGGCTCAGTGGTAGACCGCTTGCCTTGCATGCCTGAGGCCCTGGGTTCGATTCCTCAGCACCACATAAGAAAAAAGCCAGAAGTGGCGCTGTGGCTCAAGTGGTAGAGCGCTAGCCTTGAGCTGAAGAGCTGAGGGACAGTGCCCAAGCCCAGAGTTCAGGCCCCACAACCGGACTCAAAAAAAAAAAAAAAAATTGTTGCTCAAGAGGCTGGGAAGATGGCTCAGTGGTAGAGTGCTTGCCTTGCATGCCTCAGCACCACATAAGCAAAAAGAAAAAAGCCGGAGTGGCGCTGTGGCTCAAGTGGTAGAGCACTAGCCTTGAGCTGAAGAGCTGAGGGACAGCGCCCAGGCCCAGAGTTCAGGCCCCATGTCCGGACCCAAAAAAATAAAAAAAAATAAAACACTAAAATTGTTGCTCAATTTATCATTTCAACCATAATAATAAGTGCATGTTTTCTAAGCAGAAATGGAACACTCCCACTCCTTTTGCTTTTAATTTAAACTTAGGGTCTCATTAACTTTTGCCTAGGCCAGCCTTCAACTGCAATCTTCCTGTCTCTTATTGTCTAAGCAGATGGTATTATAGACATAGATTACCAGGCCCAACCAGTATTAATTTTTTTGTACCATAAAAGCCTGACATGATCAGGGTTAGTGGAAAGTAAATTTAAAATAGTGCTTTAAGTGTAGAATCATACTATACATATACACACATTTTCGAATTTAAAATATAAAAGCTAGATGCTGGTAGCTCATATATGTAGCTCTACCTCTCCAGAAATTGCAATGTGGAGGATTACAGTTCAAAGCCAGTCTGGATAGAAAAATCAGCTAGACTCCATCTCCAATTAACCAGCAAAAGCTGGGGTGGAAGTGTACCTCAAGCGATAAAAGCACTAGCTATAAGCAAGAAAGCTAAGAGTCTGAGCCCCTGAGTTCAAGCTCCAGTAGGTACTGACAAAGTAACATAGAAAAAACAACAAAAAATAGTAAAAAGCAGGGCTGGAGGCATGAACCAAGTAGTAGTGTGCCAGCCTAGTAAGTCCAAGGCCCTGAGTCCAAACTGCAGTACTGAAAAAAAAAAGTTTTTTAATAAAGAAAAAAGCCAGGCTAGCTACTCAGGAGGCTGAGATCTGAGGATCACAGTTTGAAGCCAGCCAGGGCAGAGAAGTGCATGAAACTCATATCTCTAATAAACTACTCAGAAAAAGCTGAAAGTGGTGCTGTGGCTCAAGTGGTAGAGCACTAGCCTTGAGCCAAAGAAGTTCAGGGACAGGATCCAGGCCCCAAGTTCAAACCCCAGAACCCGCACACACACAAAAAAGTGTTGGGACAAGTGCAAGGCTATGTGTTCTAATGCTACTACTACTAAAAGAACATAAATTATATTATTTCACAAGTGGTAGAGGCCAAGGCTTTGTCTCTGAGTGCAGCTCAATGATTAGTGTTCCACATCACATTTGCTGTAAGAAGCACACTCACAGTAAATGATTTGCAATTTACAGCGTGGAGCAAGACCCAGAAGATCCTCGTAAAGTAAGCAGCATGCAGAATCATTCTGGTAAAAATGTCCTGATTATCCACTTAAACTTTGCCTGTTCTACCTACCCCTAATTTGAAGTGCTTTCAGCATTTCATCTTAACTGTTTCTAACATCCAACATATATAATTTCTTTCTTTCTTTCTTTCTGTCAGTCAGTCATGGGCTTGCACTCAGGGCCTGGGTGCTATCCCTGAGCTCTTTTGCTCAAGGCTAGTGCTCTACCACTTTGAGTCACAGCTCAGCTTCCAGTTTTTGAGTGGTTAATTGGAGATAGGAATTTCGTGGGGACTTTTCTGCCTGGGTTGGCTTTGAACAGTGATCCTTAGATCTCAGTCTCCTAAGTAGCTAGGATTATAGCTGTGAGCCATCAGTGCCCAAATAATTTTTTTCTTTTTATTATTATTAAGTAGTTGTACAAAGAGGTTTCAATTCTGTAAGTCAGGTTAAAAGTTAATCAGTTCACCCATCCATTTTCCCATAATTCCTTTCTTTTTATACTCATTTTAGGATTTTATACAATATCTCACAAAATTACATAACTACAAACAGCATGGTGTGAATAAGTTTCAAATGGTTCTTAGTAAGAAGTTGAGAAAGAAAAAAGGAGCCCCTGACTCCTGAAAAGTACTGAGCTACATCAAAGTAGGCCTCAGGATGCCTGAGGCTGGCCTAGGGTTCAAGGCAAGGCCCTCATTGGCCTGCTAAATATCAACAATCTCACAAAATACCAGCGCCAGTCAATGTCATAGTGAGACGATGATAAATTGAGACAAATAAAAACCTTAAAATTGCTTTCCACGCCTGGACCAAAAAAATAACATCCTTGTGAGGCCTACAAAACACCCCCCTCTTCTGGCTAGTCTGAGTGAGTGCTGCTTCACTGTTGCAATTCTAGTCTCACTCTACTCCAGTCAGATCTCTTCTAATACCCAAATGCAAAGTTACCTCATACCAACAGCACCTAACCCAGGCAAAGCCCACTTCCTTAAGCCTCCCCAAGCTACCCACCTCAGCCCAAATCCCGTCAATGGGCCTTTCTAACATGCCTCCTTAGACACTCCCGGGGGTGCCGTGTCTCTTCCCTCACAAGTAATGACTCCAGCCTGTTTAACAAGGAGCTGTGCTCCTTGTGGGCTCTGACTGGAGAGCAAGGAGAAGGACGCCCAACAGGTGGTACCAGAGCATGAGAGCACACAGGACCACTCAGGATATATGCAAACAGGATGAAGCAAAGGTCTAGACTTAGGTAATAGTTTCTACCACATTTTCTTAGGCTAAATTCCTAGAGGTAGAATTACTGGGCCAGAAAAAAAAAAAAGAGCATTTTTTACAGGTTCTTAATCTTAAAATCCTACTTTATCTAGTAGATAAAATACCCCAAAATGTATCAAGACAACTTATTCTTACATTTGATCAGACTTTAATTTTCCTAGCTCAAACACAATGTACATGATCAATTCCAAAATATGAAATAAGAACATATGCAAGTGCTTGCCAGTGGCTCATGTCTATAGTCTTACAAATCTGAGGATCAAAGCTAGCCTGGGCAGGAAAGTCTGTGAGGTTCTTATCCTTAATTAACCACCAAATGGCCAGAAGTTGAGTTGTGCCTCAAGTGCTAGAGCACTAGCCTTGAGCAAAAATGCTCAGGCACAGTGCCCACACCCTGAGTTGAGGCCCAAGACTGGCATCAAAAAAAAAAAAAAGTACAAATATAAGTAATTTTATAGGTATAGTAACTACATTTAATTATAGTCAATTTGGAGGGAGAATTATGATAGGGGTGACGTTAACCATGATGCATTATACTCATAAACTGATGGTTGAATTAAAACCCCTTTGTACAACTAGTTAGGGTAATTTTTAACATCAAAATATAAATAAGATGTTCTGAGTTTCAAACACGTAGATGGGCTACTTATTTATTTATTTATGTCGGTCGTGGGGCCTGAACTCTGGGCCTGGACACTGTCCCTCAGCTCTTCAGCTCAAGGCACCACAGCACCACTTCCGGCATTTTTTGCTTATGTGGTCCTGAGGAATGGAACCCAGGGCCTCATGCATGTGAGGCAAGCACTCTACCACTAAGCCACTTTCCCAGCCCCTATGTGGGCAATTTAAAAAGTTTAAAATTATACAAATGCACTATGCTTTTTCTTCTTTCTGTAGGGCCATATGTTTTTCTGATTTAAAAATTATACAATACAGGGCTGGGAAGGTGGCTCAGTGGTAGAGCGCTTGCCTTGCATGCCTGAGGCCCTGGGTTCGATTCCTCAGCACCACATAAGAAAAAAGCCGGAAGTAGCGCTGTGGCTCAAGTGGTAGAGCGCTAGCCTTGAGCTGAAGAGCTGAGGGACAGTGCCCAGGCCCAGAGTTCAGGCCCCACGACCGGACCAAAAAAAAAAAAAAAAAATTATACAATACATTTAAAAATGTAACAGTAGTACAAAGGGGAAACAGAAGCTGGGTGCTGGTGGCTCACATAATCCTAACTACTCAAGGAGGCTGAGATCTGAGGATCATGGTTCAAAGCCAGCCAGGGAAGGAAAGTCCACGAGATTATTATGTCCAATAAACCACTAAAAACCTGGAAGTGTGCTGTGGCTCAAGCAGTAGAATGCTCGCCTTGAGCTGAAGAGAACAGGGACAGCGCTCAAACCCAAAGTTCAAGCCCCCAAACCGACAAAACAAAACAAAACAAAACAAAAAAACAAAGGGGAAACAGTTGAATTTAATCATCTAATACTTTTGTTTAGCCTAAAGATTATAAAGAGTACCTTAGAACATTGATGACATATATTTTTTTTACTTAAAAAATGTTTAACTGTAAAACATATCAAACTTATCCTGCTCACCACTTCTCAGTGTAGAGCCCAATATGTTAAGTATATTCACACTGTATGCACTCAATCTTCACAAGTTGGTCATTTTGCAGATCTGAAACTTTGCACCCATTAAACACCTCCCCCTTTTTCCTCTTCCCTTGTGCCCTGAAAGCCACCATTCTTCCTGTTTTCAGGACAGAGACCACTACAGATACCTAATATAAGTTTGGTTATAAAATAATCTCTTTTTGTGACTGATCAATTTCATTTAGCATAATGTATAATGTCCTCAAGGTTTGTCCTACATTAGGACTGAATAATATTCCACTA